CCTCCTCCTTCTTCTCCTCTTCCTTTTCCTCCTCCTTCTTCTTCCTCCTTCCCCTCTTCCTCCTCCTCCTCTTCCTCTTCTTCCTCCTCCTCCTCTTCTTCTTGGTTCTGATGTCGTGTTTTTGTCTTGGCCTGTGGCATTATCTCAGTTTTTGTCACATGTTTCATCAAACCTATCTCCTATAGGCTTTTTGTGCATGAGAAGGGGTGGGTACCGTCTGCCCCATCTGTCCTGGGTTGGTCTTTCCTCACTGCTGATGGTGGTGCTTCTTTGTTGGAGCCTTCTCGAGAGTCCCACTTTGGCTTTTGTCTGTTAATTGTGGACAAACAAGGCCTCATTCCTCATGACAAGGAATACGGAGTCCTACATGCAGGGCACACATGGCAATTGTAGTGTGACCTAGACTGTGTGTGTTGGTCTTCCATTGACAACTGGTGTTTTCCTGACTGCAAGGAAACCATGGGAGCATTGTTCTCTCAGAGAACCTACTGCTGCCACTTGGACTCCTAGCAAGAGTCAGCAAGTCCCCGGTAGAGGTCAGGAGAAGAGCCAGGCATTTCTTCCTCAGTCTGTGGTGGTCCAGGTTTCCTTAGCTCCTCCTTCTTCTTCCCTAACACCTGGGGTGGTGGTACCTGCCTCTCCCAGGCCCAGCACGGAGCCCTTAACTGCTTTTAGCTGTTTGCATAAACTTAATGTGACCTGAGCCAGCTTAAGTGACATCTGTTTCCTTCCAGGATCCTGCTAGAAATATTATCCCCGGCCCTCCCTTTTTCCCCTAGCAACATCTAACAGTTTCTTATCCTTGAGCTGTGGCCTCCTGCCTGGTGATATGCCCACGCTTCCCAATCACTAAGTCCGTGACCCTTCATGGGGTTCAGATTTCTATGGAAGCCTTCTTAGTGGTGGAATTTTAGCCCCTTCTACCCACCTATCCCTAAGCACACAAGATGAAGTGTCTATTTAGTGTGGCCATGGGATCCGACCAATGTAAAGCAAGTCATAACCATGATGCCTAAGCAGTGCAGTGGCTCCTGACTACTGGGGTGTCTCCTCCCAGTCACACCACCTTATGCCAGTGCCAGCTACCTGCAGTGCTGGAGCCCCTAGCACCTGGAGCATTCCTTGGCATCCCACTGGACCAGCTTCATGGAGACCTCTTCACCCCATCACCCAACAGCATAACCTCTCCAGGAGGCCCAGCTGCCCCCAGCTTCTCTGTAGCACGTGCTATATTTTGATGGAGTTGTTTCTGGACCCCCCTGCGGAGATAATAGGATGAAGATTCTCAGGACCTGTTTACCATTTAGCATGACTGTATTTCTCCACCGCCTGGGTGGCTGTTTGTGCCCTTGTCTGTCTACTGTCAAGGCTGTAAGCACCTCCATAGCCCAGCCAAGGCTCTCAGACAAGCTGTCTTCCTGATCCAGGGTCAGTAGGAGCTCAGGAATCAGGAACACATAAACACAGCAGTAAATGACAGCTCTGCCATTAGTACTGGGAACCAAGAGCCTTGCACATACTAAGTTAGTGCTTTATTCTTATTGATCTGTATCCCCAACCTCATTGGTGCCTCTTAACGTTCTTCCACCAGCTTCATTCCAGTGCTCGACATGAATGGATACGTGGACTTCTCCCCAAGTCCTACCAGCCCCACCAAGGAGCCAGGGGAGCCTCAGCCCACCCAGGCTGTGCTCCAGGAAGACGTGGACATGAGCAGTGGTTCCAGCGGAAATGAGAACTGCTCCACGGGGCGGGACTCTCAGGGCAGTGACTGTGACGACAGTGGGAAGGAGCTGCGGATGTTAGTGGAATCTTCCAACACCCACTCCAGGTAGGTCAGCCTCAGACCAGGTCCTCACACACAGGACACCGCTGGCCTCCTCCATAGTTTGTTGCCCATCTTCAAGCAGCAAGTTACCAGGACTTATAGGATGGCAGTACTTCTTAATCTTGTATATGATATTTATTGGAGTCTGTCCTTCCAAATAACGACGATATCACATCATCTTTGCAGTTTTGTGTCTGATGCCACTTAACAGACAGTCCAGTAAGATCTCGGAGGAGTCTCCTCACACACATACAGTTGGTCACAGATTGTTCCTTATGCATTTTCATCTCTCAGAGATCTGATCTGTCTGCTCTTGCAGCCCTGATGATGCCTTCAGACTCATGATGAAAGAGGCGGAACACAACCCCTCCACAAGCGGCTGCAGGTGAGACTTGCCTCAGTTCCCACCTCAGGCTCATTCAACAAGTTGCAGGACTTCCTCTCAGACCTGAGGAAGTCATGTGACAACCCCCTTAGCTCTGATAAATCTGTTGGTCTGAGCAGCTGGTTAGTGTAACTGGTGGCGTCTGCCTTTCACAGTGACACTGGCCCTGTTCTTCTCTGAGCCCTGGTTGTTCTTGGGGGACCTGGTTTCCTTCCAGCTCTACTTTAGGCCCTTTACCTCAGCCCTGTGTGTTCAGCAGGAACCTTCTCATTTGTTTGTAACAAATTATCTGTGCATCCATGGACATTTTCTTATCAGTTTTTGGGGCAAAGTCTGTTCTCCCAGGCATGTGGGCACTCGGCCATTGAAGTCTCAGGGACCTGACCCATTGGTCTTTGGATGCCTTCTCCTTGACACAAGCCATTTACATCAGCAATTCCTTGTTATCGGGCCTGTCTTCCTCTGCCCACTATTCTCTCCTGGGATTCCTTCCTAAGAGTCCCCTTTGCTCTGTTCTCCTGACCCATGCTCATGATGCCAGGAGCTATTTCTCTGTCCTTCATACCGTCCTTGTCCATCTGCCTGGGCTAGGGAAGGAACAGCTCTGTGGTAAAGCCTACACCACGGCACCATGGGTTAACCAACGGCCCTCCTAAATGCGCCCCAGCTTAACCCCAGGATAAGGATCTAGTTGGAAGACTTCTCTCTCTGGGTGAGAACAGGGATTCTTACCAGTCTGTGGTCTCCTGGGAGGAGGCATTGGCTTCCATGTCTATAGACCTCGTTAGTAACCACAACGGAGAAAGGTGCTGGCCCACAGTGAGGGAGGCCAGGGGTGCTGGGTATCCCTGCCCCCAACACTCTTTTCAGAAGGCTCACATTTGATTGCCCCCCTCTTTTAAATTCCACAGTAGTGAGCAGTCTGCCAAAGCTGACGCACACAAAGAACTGATAAGGACCCTGAGGGAACTGAAGGTTCACCTCCCTGCAGACAAGAAGGCCAAGGGGAAGGCCAGCACGCTGGCAACCTTGAAGTATGCCTTGCGGAGCGTGAAGCAGGTGAAGGGTATGTGGACTTTGCACGTCTGTTCAAACCCATAGAAACAAGGTTTTGGTTTATTTGTTTTTGCTTATTTTGTGCATGTGCATGCTCACGTGTGTGTGTGTGTGTGTGTGTGTGTGTGTGTGTGTGTTTGTGTGTGTACAGGATGGTGGGTAGCACGTATGTCATGCATGTGTGTGGAAATCAGAGGACAACCTTGTGGAGTTGGGGTTATCTTCTTCCATCTTTCTGTAGGTTCCAGAGATTGAACTCAGGTTCCAGGCTTGCACAACAAAGAGCCCTTATCCTCTAGGCCATCTTGCCAGCCTTGGAAACACATCTTAAATGTCCCAAACTATAATCCAAATAACCACATCTTTCTAAGGCACATCCCTGAAATGGCAAAAGGCAGCAGTAAAGATCTGATGATGCTCAAGTTGGTTGAGAACCATGGTTCATTGCAGTTTTCTATTGAACTGGGACTTTTAGAGGCAAAACCAAAAATAGGCAGAAAACCAGGGGACAGGAGAGGCGTTTACCCCCTAAGCCTCTTGTACTGAGTATGGTCTGGTCGTTTTCAGAAGTTCGGCATAATCTAGGCTTTGGCATGTGTTTGTGGCTGAGCTCAGAAAATGGCCACAAGTACTGTGAGCTCTGTGAGTGAGAACAGGATTGGAGTAGAACATTCCTGAGCTCAGCCCGCAGCCTGAGGAAAGATGCAGAGCGGGTCACTAGCTCTCAGCACTCGGTTCTCTGAGACAGGATCTCAGGTAGCCCAGGCTGACCACAAACTCACTATGCCTGCTGTGTAACTGGGGATGACCTTGAATGTCTAGATCCACCTTCTAAATACTAGGATTACAGGTGTGCACCACCATATCTGGTTTTATGTGGTATTGGTGTATATGCACCAATTGTTTGCAGTGCCAGTGGAAGCCATAAGAGGGCGCCAAATCCTGTGGCACTGAGTTACAAGCAGTTGTGTGCCACCATGTGGGTACTGGCACTCTGGGCCTCTTAGCCACCGCATCACCTCTCTAGCCTGCTCACCCAGGCACTTCTCAATTCATGAAGTCAAATGACTCATTTCCTGTTGATTTAAAAATGTTTACCCACAAGACATCTTCAATGAAGAAGGAAGGTGACAGGACACACAGCAACACCACCTGTCACTTAAGTTCTATCACAGGACAGCCCTCACCATCATGCATGCACAATCAGGAGCAACTCTATCAAGAGTGCTGCCGCTGATTGTGTGCTTGGACTTTGAGAAGACAGACTATGGCAGGCAGAGCATTTTTAACTGGCCCATGAGAGAAGACTGGGGCTACAAAGTAAGAACCTGGAAAAGAGCTCAGGCGCTTTCCTGTTGAGGGAGGCAGTGAGTCTCTAGTACCCCGGCAGACCCAGGTCTCCTTCAGTGCTCTTGCCCAGGATCTGCACAGACCAGCTTCCCCCATCTCCTGGCTCTCAGGCACTTGCAGTTGCTCTTGACTCCCAGACAAGAAGGGAACACTTCCCAAGCAAAAAGCAGGTGGTCCATCCCCAAGGTTCAGCCTAAGTCCCCTGGATAGATCATTCCAGGATAGTCTAGCTGTAGGCATTGGCAGAAAGGCGTGTTTAGTCAGTTGCTAGGCACAGGGAATCTGAGCTCTGTAGGTGCTCTCCTGTGGAGAAAGTGCCTTCATATAGCCCTGGCACAGAGTGCTATGTCTTTAGTCCCTTTTCCTTCCAGCCACTGGTGGTGGGGGATGTCCCTAGCTATGTGCTTGGACTTTCAGTGAACAGGTAGAGGCAAACATCCCACTGGGGCAAGAAAGACAGGTGCCGTGGGCAGGTGATGTGGAAAGCACAACCCCCCTCCACCACATCACCCTTGTGTGACCTTGTGTGAACATCACCCCGCTGCATGACTGACCGTGCCTTTGATCACAGTCACATACATGTGCCGAGGGCTGACGACTACATGTTACAAATACACATCAAAAAGCCAAAACTGTGACCTAGGCAGAATTGGCTTTGCTGTTAGCATTGCTGGCTGTCTTGAAGCCATCAAGCGTGTAGGCCAGGCTTGTGGCCAGTAGTCTAGGTATGAGCTTGCTCTTCAGACAGTCTCCTATTGCTGAGTATCTGGGCAGCTTTCTGTCAGTAGTAGATAGGTTACTAATATTGATCTTCGGTCCTTGGAGCCATCAATAGCAGTATTATTCTGCTGAGTCCTGGCCTCCCTCATGTTTGGGTTCTGTCTTCAGCCTGAAACCTCTGTGGATTACTCCTAAACTGCTGTCTGTTTTGGAAGACTGATGTGGTCTGAACAGCGTTGTCTGCCTGCTAGCCAGTGCTGCTTAGGCTTGATGTGTTTGGTGCTTTAGGGCCAGACTCCTCAGTGGGGGGCCATGGCTCTGGGGCCTGTGCCTAAGGAAGACCCTGTTCTCTGGAACGAGCAGCTACGTGAATCAGTCTCACTCTCCAGGGACTGTTGGTTTGCATGCCTCGCACTTGGCCGCAGTAACTTCGGAACTTGGGAGTTCTGCCAAATCGAGAATGTTCCTAAGCTTTCCAGCAGAGAGCATGCTCAGAAACTTACCAGTCTGTGAAGGTGGAGAGATCAACATCAGATAAGACCCAGCTTTGAGTCCAAAGACCTCATTACCACTCTGCAGGGACACATGCTTGGCTGGGTCCCAAGGTCAAACTCCAGGACACAGCCACCCTAGGTTCCGGCTACCTAAGGGGATGTGGAGCTTTAGAGGCAGGACGACTGCGCTGATTCCATGTGCAGTGAGAGCAGCTGTGGCCGAGCCCCCAGAATCCCACCAGATACGAACTCAGAGCAGCGGCCATAGTATTTGTAGACACTGCTCACAGCACTTTCTTTCCAATGTGGATTTTGGTACTTGTTCCTCTTTCAAGCAGTCAATCCTGCCTGCATAGAAGCTTCTTTCCTTCCTTTTTTCTTTCTTTCTTTCTTTCTTTCTTTCTTTCTTTCTTTCTTCCTTCCTTTCTTCCTTTCTTTCTTCTTTCTTTCTTTCTTTCTTTCTTTCTTTCTTTCTTTCTTTCTTTCTTTCTTTCTTTTTTGTTTGTTTTTCGAGACAGGGTTTCTCTGTGTAGCTCTGGCTGTCCTGGAACTCACTCTGTAGACCAGGCTGGCCTTGAACTCAGAAATACGCCTGCCTCTGCCTCCCAAGTGCATAGAAGTTTCTAAAGGGACCATCCAAGTGCAGGTGGAAGGGATGCTTCTGTGGATCCGAAGTGTGACCATTGTGGTTATGTCACACTTCAGGGGCCTATGCACCCTTACGACTTAAAGTAATGTATTTATGAGTTTTTAGATTCCTAACATGGCCTGGTGTGTGAGAGAGTCTGCAGTCTGCCCTTGAGTGCTGGCCACTCGTGTCTGTGCATCCTCTGGCTCTCCTCCCCCTCAAGATTCTATCTCATCCCATTTCTTCATTTAAGGAAAATGGACCCCGGCTTCAGGGGCCAGCGACAGTGTGCTGTCATGTGATCTCATCTGCTGAACATGGGTGTCGCTTCTCTTATAGCTAATGAGGAGTACTACCAGCTGCTAATGTCCAGCGAGAGCCAGCCCTGCAGCGTGGATGTGCCTTCCTACACCATGGAGCAGGTTGAGGGCATTACCTCCGAGTATATCGTGAAGAATGCGGTGAGTGTTTTGACAGGGCACGAGTTCTCCCCTGGTTAAGGTAGCTAGCTGGTCCACTGTCAGGAGGCAGATCTCTGAATAAAATCACGAAGTTGCTGATTCTCGAGTGAAGTCTTCATCTCTGGCCAATTCTGACTCATAGCTCCCAGTACCAGAGAAACCCAGCGGTGATAGAACTTGATGCTCCTGTTTTTTGTAGCCTCAGGATGAAGAGACAGATTTAGTAACCGCCTGTTTGTTCAGGCTCCATGGTAACAAAGTCTGGGTCCAAAGCCCATATTTCTAAATGTCATGTAATGGTCTGGGAGAGGAGAGACCCTACTCCCGGACTCCCAACTAGAACAGACTAACCTATGAAGATCCAGAATGTACTAGAGCAGTGCTGAACTTGCGCCAGCCTAACCCCTTGAGGCTCTTTCCCTCTTTCTGCTTAGCAGCCTCCCTCCAAGGGGGGCTGGCCTATGCTTAGAGGGGCAGGCTATCCCACAAACCTGAAAGAGACCAGCTGGCGAAGGTCACTTGGCCAGGCTAGGGGAGCATGGGTGCTTAGGAAGGCTGGCCTAATGTGCCATTCCTGAGAGTGTTGCATTGGATTTTTTTATTGGAGCAGGAAAGTCAGGTTGGACAGAATTGGGGAGGTCCAGATGCACCCTGTCCCTCATGCAACCCAGGATGCTCCTACTAGCCTTAGTGACTATATTACAGTCCATAGTGACTATAATCACCTGGTCATGCTCCCCGTTTCCAGGATATGTTTGCTGTGGCCGTGTCCCTGGTTTCTGGGAAGATCCTGTACATCTCTAACCAAGTGGCCTCCATCTTTCACTGTAAGAAGGATGCCTTCAGTGACGCCAAGTTTGTGGAGTTCCTAGCTCCTCATGACGTCAGCGTGTTCCACAGCTACACCACCCCTTACAAGCTTCCACCCTGGAGTGTGTGCAGCGGCTTAGGTGAGGTCCTGGCTGCAGTGTCTTGCTCCCTCTGAGTCAGAGTGTGGAGGAGGCTAGAGACAAGGGCAGAGGTTGGGAGCTGGCTTCCCTTCTCAGCTATGTCAGAATACCCACAGAGCCCTCCTGACAGGCTACCAGCCACTGATCTGTCTAGGGCAAGAGGCAAACAGTTGTTTGTCTCTAGAATAAATAACCTCTTTGTAAACTTCAGAGAGTCTTCAAAATTAGGCATTTTAGAAACAGAGTTATTCAGAGGAGGAATCTTGACATAACTGCAGTGCAGAGAGCTGGGATGCATCCTGTGAGGCAGAGGGATGTTCTGTGGAATGGCAGCTGCCTGCAGGCAGCAGTTAATACCCTTGTGGCCTTAGCGGCCGTAATGTTCAGGTGTGGCATTTGTCGGGTGACTTTCCAGGGAACTTCGTCTTGGCTGGAGGCAGGATCATAAGTATAAATTATAAAGTTCTCTGGCTTGCATGGCACTTTCCATACTCACTAGCAAGTATGTCCTCTGGCTTTGTGGTCCACTATGTCCAGGCTTCTTGCCCTTGCCCAGACCTTCCTGTCTGGCGGCCAGGCCACTCCATGTCTTCTCTCCATAGATCCAGGTTTGCCGTTCTCCTTGTGCCCTCCCAGTCACCCCCAAACCCCAGTCAGTCGGCTGTAGTCTGAGTATGGTTTGTCCTCTCCAAAACTCTAGTTGGAATTTACTGATGTCACAGTACTGAGGTGAGACTTTGAGGTAATGCAGCCATGAGGAGAGACAAATGCCTTTCTCCTGGAACAGACTTCCTTGTCAGGACTCAGCGAGCCCTGAGGGACTGGATGGGTTGCTATGAAGCAAGGCTGCCCCTTCTGCATGTGTCCTACATACCGTTTCCCGTAATGATTTGAAGCAGTGCGTGGCCCTCTCCAGCAGCAGGGCAGATCCTTGCCCTGTGCTCTTGGACATTCCAGCCTCCAAAACCATGAGCTAAATTAAACCCATCCTCTTCCTGAGTCAGCCTGTGACAGCTTCTTACAGCAACAGAAAATGGACGGAAGCAGTTCTGGTGAGAACTGCGTGCTGCTGCAGTGGTCCCCGAAGTGGCAGAGAACAGACTTGGAACTAGGATGTGGCAGCAGCTGAATTGTTTCAAAATGGAAACTGGAAAAGGCCCAAGTGCTGAGGTTCCGTCCTGCTGTTGGAGGACAGAGGAAGACAGGAGGACTGGGGAAAGCTTGACGCTTTTATCATTTGCATAAATGGTTGTGACCAGCATGCTGATGGAAATGTCGGAGGGACTAGCTACAGTCTGGCCACATACAGGGTGGAATGCAGGGGTGCAGTCAATCAGATTGCTGAAGGATTCTGTGGGTAGGAGATAAATGGCAGTGAAGACCTCCCCATCACAGAGGAAAAGACCTGAAGGCACATCAGAGATCTTCAAGGAAGCCTCTGATCCCCACATCCATGCACAGCTCTCACCAGCTCTCACTGTGGCCCCAGTGATGCAGGCTCAACCCCCACATTCTCCATCAGGCGTAAGACAAACCTTGCCAGTGTCCCTGTGGGGCTGATTCTGCAGGCAGGAGGAAGGTGAGGTATAGCTTCCTCTGCCACAGGAGCAGAGCTGTCCCAGAGAATATCCCTAAGACTATGCCAGCCAGTGCTGTCAGGGCTGTCACCTTGGGAAACTGAGCCACCAGAGACAAGCCACACATCCCAGGAAAACCACAGGCAATCCTAACAACCAAAGCCGGGCTGAGACCAGCAAGCCGTGGGGCGAAGCTACTTGCTGCTTTGGGGGGTCCAGTCTTACCCATGTGCACCAAGTATGTAGCAGGTGCTGGGGTAACAGGATGATCCCCCAGCTTTAGAACAAGGCTGCTGGGCCCTAGTTTCAGCCTTTCATGAGGCCTATTGTGCCTTCCTTCTGGCCAGTCTTCCTCAGGAACAGCATGCCTAGCCCTCATCCTGTGGCTTTGGAGCAGATGATTGGTTTGAGCTCACAGTTGGACTTTGGATTCTCCGGTTGGCACTGGAGACTATGGGATGGACTTGATTATAGTTTGTATTATGAGAAGAGTGTGAGCTATGGCAAGCCAGAAGGGCCACCTGTGGGCTGTTCTCCTCTCAAACTCAGGCTGAGCTTTGTGGAGTGTGGGATAACTGGTCTTTAAGGGGGTGACCGAGTCACACGGAGGGATTGGCAGCTGTGCTTTTGTTCTCTTGGGACTGGATTACTGTGACCATTCTGTACCTCCACACTGGCAGCCCCTCGCTCCTGTCCTTTTAGCTACAGGCCTCTTGTGGTTGAACTCTCCAGTTCTTCATTGTATTTTGCCAGCTTCCTCTGAAGACTCTGACTCTAGAAGAACTTCAGGGCACCCAGGGTCACAGCACTGCCACTGATGGAGGGCTGAGAGGAGCTAGCCTCCACCACTACTGACAAGGGTAGCCAGCAAGAGTTCATTAGCGTCTGCCCACCAATGGCTGATGGTCACAGTCCATCATGGGCTTTGGATGCCCAGAGTTGAAGACTGTAGCTTCCCAAAGCAGAGGAACAAGGACCGAGCGAGGATTGCTCTGGGCTTGTCACTGGGAATTATCTGCCGTTCTGTCTGTGGTTGGCAGGTCCTTGATCTCTGCTTACACAGTGGCTTCTCATTGCTTGCCACTACCACCTGCAATCAGTGGCTCTGGCCAGCTCCAGGACCTCTCCCACTGACAATCCCCCCCCCTTATTCCTGTTGTATAGCATCAGAGATGGACACTGCCTTTGTGTCCTTCACCAGCTCAACAACCATACCCCTTCAGTGAGCAGCCTGGGGCAGATACACCATTTTGTTTGAGGGTTTCCTATAAAGGAGGTTGTCTACGTTCTCCCTAAACCATGAGACTATTAAAAACTAGTTTGCAGTGTGAGTTACAGCAGCATGGTTCAGGAACAAGGAAAGGAAATGGCTGGGAGTGTGGGCAACCTAGGCTGCCTCTCCACAAAGAAGCCAGCCAAAGGTGTTTTTTTTTTTCTTTTTCTTTTCTCTTTTTTCTTTTTTTCTTTTTTTTTTTTGTTTTTGTTTTTTTGTTTTGGATTGGATTGGATTGGATTTGATTGGTTTGGTTTGGTTTGGTTTGGTTTGGTTTGGTTTGGTTTGGTTTGGTTTGGTTTGGTTTTTTGAGACAGGCTTTCTCTGTGTAGCCCTGGCTGTCCTGGAACTCACTCTGTAGACCAGGCTGGCCTCGAACTCAGAAATCCGCCTGCCTCTGCCTCCCAAGTGCTGGGATTAAAGGCGTGCGCATGTGTCACCACTGCCTGGTCAAAGTATGTCCTAAGTGGAAGGAGAACCTGGTAGCCTCAGAGAAGCCTTTTTCAGGCTGGCAATTCTGTATCATTTTATGTAACTAGTAATTTCCTGTGTTACCTCATTTCTTTCGAATGGAAGAAATACTATATCCAAGACAAAGTTGAAGGAGTTTCTAATCTTCAAGCTGTTCTAGAGATGCCTGCTCCCCTTCTCTGACGTGAGGTCCAGCCAGCTCACGTTTCTCAAGACACTGTAAATATTAAAGTAAGTTGGTATTTTAGAAAGTGTTGATATTTTCAAGAGCCTCAGGTCACTTCTGTTAGAAGCAAATATTTCAGCAGTGGGAGTGAGAATGCCCAGGGGTCTGTCAGCAAGTACACACATCCTGTGTCTTCCCGAGATGAACTGCCAGCGTGTTGGTAGCACCACTGCGCACTGTTCAGAAGTTTTAAACATCCGTGTTTGTCAGCTCTCGCCAGTAATCCTAGCAACTCTAGAGGCAGAGTCTGAAAGATAGCTGCAAGTTCCAGGCCAGCCAGAGCTACATAGTAAAACTCTGTCTCAAAAAGGAAGAAAAAAAAACCCCAAACCTTTCTAAAGACAAAACTGTAAACTTGTAGGGCAGTATAATTTGGTCTATGCACCTTTGAAATTGTATCCAATATAAAAGCTCTATGAAGGACTCACTTTGTACTTCGGACACATCACAATGCATACCTCGGTTTGATTCTGTGCTTATTGACAAGGAAATGACTCTGGGTTTTTCTTGTAGATTCTTTCACTCAGGAGTGCATGGAGGAGAAATCTTTTTTCTGCCGTGTCAGGTGAGTCCAGTGTCCAGTCTTTCAAACTCAGAAAGCAATATAGATGGTCCACTACCTGTACTTGTGGGAGAATTAGGGGTATATTGCTTGTTCCCTCCCTCCACCCCCAAATCTGAGAGTGAGACCAGACATAGCTTCTGCAGAGCCTGTGTGAAAACCCCCCTCAAATGAGTTACATGCTACTGTATGAAGGGAGGGAATGCGTCCGTTCTTCTTCAAAAAAAGACAGAGCCCCCCACACTGCCCTTCTGTTGCTCAGGAAGACATTCCCCAGGGCCATGGCTTAGGCAGTGCCTGTAGCCCTGAATGTGCACCTGCATTTCTTGGGTTAGAGTCACAGTGTACCTTGCAGGCTCTTGGTGACCAAGACATCCAGGACAATGTCAGCAGTGACTCCATGGACAGCCAGGCCCAGAATCCCCCTGAGGAAGCAACTTCCCATTCCCAGTTGCTTTGTCTTAGTGTAACTGCAAATTGCTCAAGAGAAAGGCAGGAAGGCCTCCTACTGCTCATGGTATGGACGCTGACCGTTGACCCTTCAGTGTGGGTCTAGTGGAGAACAACTAAGGGTGAGCACTGGCCAGCTTCTCCAGTGGGCCCAGATGTGTGCTGCCTCCCGCATGGCTAGGTTCCCACTAGAGGTTTTGCTGTGCCAGTCTGGCTGAGCATCCTTGGCATCTGGTACAAGTGGGGAAGTCACTTAGCCCTCACAGACAGCTAGGAGCAGGGCTCACTAGCAGGCCAAGGCTTCTCTTTGTCGTGGCTCAGAACCTTGACCCTTGCTCTCTCCACACTCCTCTCTCCACAGTGTTGGGAAACACCACGAGAATGAGATTCGCTACCAGCCCTTCCGCATGACACCCTACCTGGTCAAGGTGCAAGAGCAGCAAGGTGCCGAGAGCCAGCTCTGCTGCCTGCTGCTAGCAGAGAGGGTACACTCGGGCTATGAAGGTAGAGCCATGCCTGACCAGGGAGCACCCACGTTAACTCATCCCTCTTGCCTGTGGTTGACGCATGATGTCTAAAGCGTACCTCGCTGCTCATTCACCTTGGCCTCTCCCCAACCCCATCAGTCTCCTCTGAATTCAACCCAGTTCTCTTTGCTATGTGGCTCTCCCATAGCAGCCAAAGGCAGCTAGCTGTACCTGTTGCCCTCTCCCTTCCCCACAGAGTGGCACCAGCTCTGAGGCCCTGTATCCCTCTTACCATCATCCCTCACCCTTGCTTATGCCTCATGATATCTCAGTACCCCAGAACCTCTACTGACTCACTGGACCTCCAGTGCTGGGCTATCCTTTGCCCACCTTGGCCCATCCTGCCTTCAGTCTGGGCTGCCTTCCTCCTAACTTGTGGTTTCTGTCGAGCACAAATCTTCAACAAGCCCTTCCCTCTGACTGGCTTTCTCTGCATCTCAGCCTGAGGCTGTTCAGCTACCCTAATGCTTCCCATCAGTGAGGCCTTCCCAGGCCAGCCCGTCTCCTCACAGGCAGGTTTTTCCCATGGAGCCCAAGGAAAGCTGTACCATCCCAACGGCTTTCTTGGGATTCCTCTAAAAAAAATTGTTTTCTCATACTGTGGTCCAGTGCCTGGCTAGAAGCTGTTTGTTTTCTGTGTGTCAACTCAGGAGTCACAGGACTAATGATCCCCTGACAGCAGCCTCACCCTAGCCCAGGAACATGTATCCTGCAGTCTTTTGGTTAGCCATGAGTTTTTTTGTTTTGTTTTTTTCAAAGCATTTCTTGAAAGTGATAGCAGCATGTTCTAACATGATTCTTCTCTCTGACCCAGTGATGTATCTCTGCATCTAATATTAATATAATTAATATAATAATTAGTGTATTAATAATTATCAATAATTAATAATCAATATGATAATTATATAATTAATATAACATTCTCTTTCCAATATTCATTAAGAGTATAGAGAGGAAGAACAACTTATCACCCCAAATCATGAATGTCCTTCAAGAACCAAAGATTTTAGAATTCTATAGTTGGGGAAAACACTGGATATACAATTTCCTGTATAGAATGGATTGTCTTTGTTTTCCTCTCCCCCCCCCAGTCCCTTCATCCCCCAGAAACTATCAAGTTCTCCCTTGCAATGGCTTTGGCAAACCATATGTCATATAACTCATCTTTACAAAAGTGATTTCTTCAGATTATTGTAGTTTTCATCTTACAAACCATGAAGGCAGTCTTCTGTCCCAGGGCCACGTGTCTCAGCTAGCATGACAGCTCCCATTGGCTCCCAGAGAGGTTGAAGAGGCTGTGGTGGCCGTCTGGTTGGGACCTGCCCTGCCTTCAGCATGATGGCTCTGTTACTCTGTCTACCCTCTCATTTTCTCATTGGCTGCCCATCCTTGAGTATTTCCTTAGTTGCCACAGAGCTGACTAACCAAGTTAGTTTTAAGAACTAAGTTTCTTAGAAGTGGAAATTCTGTTCTTTCAGCCCCTAGAATTCCTCCCGAGAAAAGGATCTTCACAACGACCCACACACCAAACTGCTTGTTCCAGGATGTGGATGAAAGGTGAGTAGTGTCTCACTGGTCACACCACCTGCTGCCGTTCATCTGGGAATCAGTACTGTGTCCTCTGCGTCACCAGATCCTCGGACAGACACTCAGTGTTTCCTCATTGTCCTGGGAACAACCAAAGTGATAAAAATGAACCTTTCTTGCTTTTGACATCATTGCTGAAGACGAGGTTGTATGTCATTTTCCATATATGGCAATTGACAAAAATGTGTGACTGTACTATTCTGTGACACGGTGATGTTTCAGTCAGAGCACATACACTGTTGTGATCCCGTTGTCTAGTGACAGACATGCTACAGTAGGGTAGTAGACACAGCTGTGCACAGTACAGCACTGTTGTTTCTGGCTTATCGATTTACAACTTGATATTTCAGCAAGTCCTCTTTATTTCACAAGGCAGGGTGCCGTGGTGCCTGGCAGCAGCCTCACACTCCTTCATGCCCTGGGTTTCTACGTTGCATCAGCAGTCAGGCCCGGTGACTGATCTATGTGGTAGGAGTTCGGCTTTGCTTGTACAGCACAGTTGCCTAAGGATGCAGTTTTTAGGCTATGCCTCACTCTTACAGAACATGTGACTATACAGGCAGTCAAACAGTTTGAAATCACGCTAACAAGTTCATGAGATCCAGTTGCAGTAGCTCACACTTGTGATCTCGGCGTGATGAGGCTGAGACAGGAACATTTGGGAGTTCAAGATCCTACTTCAGAAAGAACAAAAATGAGAAAACAAACACCACGTTTTCTGAGAAATGAATGCTATAAATGGGCCTCTCTGGAAAGCTGGGGATTATTTAGTTGACCCTGCCTTTCTCACTCTGTTTAAACTCTGTCTAATGGGTGATGGTACCATCAGGGATGTAGTGCAAAGGGCTAATGCCGGGGGGAGATGCCATTGGTAGGACTTCAGCAGGAATTTGTCTTCTGGGGTCCCTCCACACCTTTTCTCAGAGAACTCCTCAGGCTTGTCTCATTGGGTCTGCCGTGGAAGGTACTAGAGCAGGTGTAAGAGGTCCTCACTAGATTCAAAAGTGCTTGGTTCCCAGCAGCTTGTAGTCTACTGTGTGCCTTCCCCTAGATCCTTGACAGATGAGAAATGGGAAATCAAATAGTTGTTAGGAGTGGTTTGGAGAAACAAGTCTTCAGAAAATACCACAGGAAGTAGACAGAGAAACAGATCAAGCCACCTCCTAGATTCTGGAGGATCAGGTTCTCCTCCTCTGCCTACCTGGCAAGGGACACTCGGTCTTCTGTTCTGAGTCATGCTGCACTGCCTCCAGGAAGGTTCCACTCTGTAGGCAGCCAGAGATCTGCCATTTCTGGCCTAGGTCCCTTGGATGTCCATGCAGGTCACATGTGGTCCAGCTACCAGAAAGACAATATCAGATGCTGAAAGACAATATTCAGGGCTGAATGTACAAAGCCTCCTAAGAGGCTGTCGTTGCTGCATAGACCTAAAGACTATGTGCAGACTGTCAGATGTTTTGCTCCAGCTGTGAGGCAAGAGGGCAGGCCCGTGCCTGTGGGATTCAGTCCGCCAAGTTCTCCTAGTGAGTGGAACCTACAGGGCTCCCATCATGGAACCTCTGCGGTCAGGATCGAGCATACAGCCCTTCCTACTCAGCCTTGTTTGTCCTCTCCTCCCCCCTCCAACTTCTTCCTCTTTCCCTATTCTTTCTCACCTCCCCCAATTCCTCCAGCCAGGCTTGTGTTGGGAGGGTGCCAGGAACATTCTGTACACTCTGTCCGAAGGGAAACAGGTGACCTGAGAGTGTGCCTCAGGCACTGAGGATAAAGTCAGACCTCTAGAAAGTTCTAGTCTGAGGATGTGTGTAGATGGCCTTCCACTTGAGCAGGAGAGTTTGAGGAAACATCTGCTGGGATGCTTGGATGCCCAGGGAAGAGGAGGCAGCTAGCCAATAGATGCAAAGAGAGGCATAGCCAGCTGCCTCGGTCACCCCTACAGTGACTTGAAGCCCAGCCCAGAACACCAAGAGACTTCCACTTTACAGAAGCACAGATGCACTAAGCAAGGGTTCCAGCCAGTCATGGGGGCTCATCGGGGAGCCACAGGAAATGGTCTGATATAGGGATCAAAGTGACAGTAGGAAGACATTCTTAGAAAAGACAGCTTTCAGCCAGAGCTGGTTAAAAAGAGACTCACATTTAACTGGTCAATATTAGAAACTGATCAAAATGAGATCAGTATGTCATGATGTATTCTTTTTTGGAGGCTGAACACCATGCTGTAGCTTACAGCCTCATTACTGACACACCACAGGGGTGCTGGAAAGCTGCCAAGTTGAGACTCCCTAACCCTACTTCTGCTGTTTCTGGGGGACTTGGGAGCCTGTGTCTGTCTCTGGATGAGGAGGTGCCCTGGGATGGCTGTCTCTCAGAGTCTGCCAGCTCCGCCTGACATTGGTATTCCGAGTGCTGACTGCCTTGTGTCCCTTGCCTCTCAGGGCGGTCCCCCTCCTGGGCTATCTACCTCAGGATCTGATCGAGACCCCTGTGCTCGTGCAGCTCCACCCCAGCGACCGGCCCTTGATGCTCGCCATCCACAAGAAGAGTAGGTCTTCTTCTTTAAGCCCCAAGGCCTGTGTGCTCTGGTGCTTGAAGGGGGTTGGATCCACTGGGAATGCTGAGCCCTGGTAGATGTCCTACTTCCTTGCTGAGACCTAGTGTCATCAGCTCTAGGCGGACTGGAGAGGTCTTGGTGACCCATTTATAGTATTGATGTCGGTGAATATGGGGAGAACAGCTTAGCTGTGGGGCAGGAAGGTTCCAACCATCCTTGGGAGTAGACTGCACAGGACCCCTCCAAGCCGAGCCCTTGCAGACGTGGGTAGCACTGAGAGATCTGCATCCTGATGTAGGAGATGAAACTGCCCCTCCTGGAGACCATCCCTGGTGTGATTTGAAGCAGACACAGGAGTTGAAAGCAGAGGCTTTGAGGAGGTGACCTTGGCCAGCCTGTGTATGTCTGCTCCCTACCTCACACACCAGCCCTGAGACCCGTTTCTTACCCTCTAGTCCTACAGGCCGGTGGGCAGCCTTTCGATTATTCTCCCATTCGATTCCGTACCCGCAACGGGGAGTATATCACACTGGATACTAGCTGGTCCAGCTTCATCAACCCATGGAGCAGGAAGATATCTTTCATCATTGGGAGACACAAAGTCAGGGTGTGAGTGCTCCCAGGGTTCCACTCTGTGGGTTTTGGGGATCCTGGCCTATTCTCATTCCTACCATCAGGGAGCAAAGATGAGGGGCTGTCTCCCTATGGGGGAGCCGCTGGCCACGTGGATGGTCAAGGGATAACCTGTCCACGTGGGAGGAACTCTTATAAGCAGAGCTGTGTGCAACTGGGGGTGTGTGGGGTGGAGATGGAGATTTTGACCCCAGTAGGCCATGTGGGTACCACATTCAAGCCAGGCCCTTCTGAGGAAACCAATTCAAATCATGCAGAGGCCCTTTGAATGAGGATGTGTTCGCAGCCTCCCCATGCCCAGAGGAGAAGACTCCGCACCCCAGCGTTCAGGAGCTCACGGAGCAGATCCACCGGCTACTGATGCAGGTGAGTGCTGAGTCAGCACTGCTCTGCTCTGCCTGTGCCCACGGGTCTGCACAGATGGGCTGAGTTTGGATCATCTGCTTGGCCTGAGAACTACCAAGCCCCCCTCAAGTTTTCCTGGCCTTAGAATCACGTCTCAGCCATGATGTTGAGTAAGAAGGGTGCCCATGCCCCACAGCCTGTCCTTCAGTCCTGATGTGATTTCCACTGGTGTAAGTCCTACCCCTTCCCAAAACACTGTCCCCAACACTGGGAACCTGGTGACATCACCCTCCAGTAAAATCAGTTTAACCACAGTCAGTCCCACTACTGAGTGGAAGTCCCCACTCAATAGGTGGTTATAGGATACAAAGTGTAACTGTAGTTGGATTGGTTTTATGTTTTTAAAACCTTGATAAGACTGAAAAAGACCTCAGCTGTGCAGTAATTAGCTGGTTGAACATTGTCTTAGTTAGGGTTTCATTGCTGTGAACAGACACCATGACCAAGGCAACTCTTATAAAGGACAACATTTAATAGGGGCTGGCTTACAGGTTTAGAGGTTCAGTCCATTATCATCAAGGTGGGAAGCATGGCAGCATCCAGACAGACATGGTGCTGGAGAAGGAGTTGACAGTTCTACATCTTGATTGGAAGGCATCCAGGAGGAGGTCCTCTTCCATACTGGGCGGAGCTTGAGTATTAGGAGCCCTTAAAGCCCACCTACATAGTGACACACTTCCTCCAACAAGGCCACACCTCCTAATAGTGCCACTCCCACAGGCCAAGCATATTCAAACCACCACAAACATGTTCTTTTTTATCTTTTCCATTTTTTTCTTTGGGGGTGGGGGGTAGAGGGGTTATGAAATGGGTGTCTCTGTGTACTCTTGGCTGTCTGGAACTCCTTCTGCATACCCAGCTGGCCTTGAACTCACAGAGATCCACCTGACTGTCTGCCTCCCAAGGGCTGGAATTCAAGGCATATAAACTGCCTAATCATGTCCCTTTAATGGAATCTCCTTGGTGGCTGCATGCCAGAGGTTAGCTCGCTGGGAATGAAGGCCAGACAACTCGGGGTTCAAGCTCCCTGCACTTGTCTTCTCTGTGTAACCTTGGGCAGGCTGAGACCGCTGTTGGAGCTTGACTTGTGGTGACCTCTTCTACACCTTTCTACCGAGTCCATAGCGATCTGTCTGCTTTTCCCCCTAGCCTGTCCCCCACAGTGGCTCCAGTGGCTATGGAAGCCTGGGCAGTAACGGATCCCATGAACACCTCATGAGCCAGACATCATCCAGCGACAGCAACGGTCAAGAGGAGTCTCACCGGAGGAGATCCGTACGTCCCTTTCTGTTCCACCCCCGAGAAAGCAAGTCCAGCAGCGCAAGTCCTGAGTTAGAAAGCATGACCAGAAATGGCCAGCCAGTGGCTGAAGCCAGTGGCTCAGTTGCCTTCTCCTCTGGCTCAGTTTCTCTGAGATTTGCTTCATAATTCCAGTTCCAGCAGCTGGCCTGTAGTTGTTATAGATAACGGAAAATGACTTAGGTGGGCAAGGCAGAAACCTTAATTGGAGGGTTATGTGGAAGCCCCAGCAGTTCCTTTACTCTGTTTCCCTTGGGGATCATGGGAGTTGTCGTCAGCTCCATCTGGCTTCTTCAGGATTTCCGAATCTGGGTTGGAAGTAGTGAGTACGCTCCATGCTGAGCACTTGCCCTGTATGTGCAAGGCCCTGGAGTCTACCCCTGAGTTATTCTCTTTGTCGCTTGACCCCCAGTGTTGGCTTTTCTGCCCTCACTGTGGGGAACCGACAGAAGAAGGTCTCCTAGAATGAATAACGTGTTCCTTATTGTTTTTCTTCAAGGGAATTTTTAAAACCGGTGGCAAGATTCAAACCAAAAGTCACTTTTCTCATGAGTCTGGAGGACAGAAGGAAGCATCTGTTGCAGGTAAAAAAGATGTCCTCTGGTTACTCCTGGAGCCCTCACTCTCGGGAGCTCTCACTTTTCCTTAAGAAATCTACATTTATTCTGCTTTTTAAAAGGAAAACAAGCCAGGGCTGGAGAGATGGCTCAGTGGTTGGGAGCACTGGCTGCTCTTCCGGAGGACCCAAGTTCAATTCCAGGTTCAGTACTCCCAGGGCAGCTCATACATAACTGTGTCATACCAGTTCCAGGGGATCTGAAACCCTCACACAGACATACACAGAGGCAAAATACCAATGCACATAAAATGAAAGTGAGAGAGAGACAGAAAGAGAACAAGCCTGGTGGTGGCAGCTACACCTTTGATCCCAGCAGTTGGGAGGCAGAGGCAGGGAGATGGATCTCTGTGAGGCCAGCCTGGTCTACAGAATGAGTTCCAAGACAGCCAGGGCTGCACAGAGAAACCATGTCTCAAAACAACAACAACAAAAGAAAACAAAAGACACCCCATGTTTCTTTGCTTGTGTCTCAGGGGAGGACCTGGCTTTTCTGGCTTATTCCTCTGTTTTAGGGCTGGAAAGGTCCCCTCCTAAGTGCTTAACCTCATCCTTGCTCTGCAAAGCAACAAGGGCTGCCCCTCTGTGTCCAGCCAACAAGTGTAGCTCCTTCTGTCTATACTTTGTTACCCTGCACATCACTAGGGCATGGAGTGCTTCATTTTCCTAGGACCTGCCTACTGAGTGCAGTGGGAGCTGTGGCCATGGAGAATGGGGAGTGTGTGGCTTATCTCCTCACTCTGCAGAGTATAACCATGTGCTCACACTTCATGCATGTACAAACTAGCACCTGCAGGTACACACACACACACACACACACACACACACACGGGGGCGGGGGCAGGCCTTGGCAAAGTGCTGAGGTGCTTGCAGTACTCAAAAACAGACCTACCTATAGTAGACAGTAAGGTGCTGGCTGTTGAACATACACCAGTGAATAAAGTCTCGCTCATTGCTTGGTATCCCCCAGGAGGGCGAGCATGTGGTCCCCATGGTGACACAAGCCGCATCCACAGCCTAGTGCCTGGGCACCCATTGCTGTATGATCACTGTTACCAAAATTGTCCCTAGTAGTGTGGTGCTTGGAGTCTTGGGATATTTCTTCCTTAGATACTAAGCCAGAAATTTAAGGCAAGCCTGGGTTCCATAGTTTAATGTCAGCCTGCCTTCTCAGTAACTTAGTGATAGATAGATAGATAGATTGATAGATAGATAGATAGATAGATAGATAGATAGATAGATGAAAGAAAGAAGGAAAGGAAGGAAGGAAGGAAGGAAGGAAGGAAGGAAGGAAGGAAGGAAGGAAAAGAAAAACCAGGTGTGATGGTATACACCTTTAATCCTAGCACTTGGGAGGCAGAAGTTGGCAGATCTCTGTAAGTTCAAGTCCAGCTTACATAACAAGTTACAGGCCAGCAGGGCTACATAGTGAGACTTTGTTTCTAAATAAATAAATATCTAATGATGGATGGGCTACAGAGGTAGTTCATGGGAGAGTACTTGAGCCACACATGCAATGTCCTGTATTTGGTCTAGCCTGCCCTGCCCAGGATAAGAATCTGGGGTCTAACTGGCCACAAGTTCAGTATTTAAAGACCCATCCTTTTCCACCCTGAGCTCTGAGTCCTGAGAATGGCCCTGACATGTGCAGCTAAGCCCGGAGAGAAGCAGGCCTTGCCCAGGTGATAGGTTACTCTAAGCTCCTACTTCAAAGCTCCACAACTGTCCGACCAGTTGGGGTTCTGGATGCAGACTGTCACTGGGGTCTCACCTGTACATTATGAATCCTTACTCCTGTCTTTGAGCAGAATAAAATGCTTTATAAATATGTAAAAGTTTCTGACAGATAAAAGGTAATAAATGAAAAAATTGTGTGTGTGTGTGTTTTTCAGAAATGCAAAGCAGCCCCCTGGCTCAAATGAAAGCTGTCACCACCATAGAAAGGGACAGCTCAGGAGCCAGCCTACCCAAGGCCAGCTTCCCAGAGGAACTAGCGTATAAGAACCAGCCTCCTTGTTCCTACCAGCAGATCAGCTGCCTGGACAGTGTCATCAGGTACACAGGGCACTTCTGATCTTCCCTGCTGTTGGTATCCTCGTCCCCCACACCTTCCCACCTACATGATGTCTTCTGACCCTATGCAGGTACCTGGAGAGCTGCAGTGAGGCAGCCACCCTGAAAAGAAAGTGCGAGTTCCCAGCCAACATCCCATCCCGGAAGGCCACAGTCAGCCCTGGGCTGCACCCTGGAGGTAACTGTTAAGACAGTTAGAGCTGTCTCACCTGTGACTCCTTCAGTCTCCTGGGTAGGGTCAGAAGCCATCAGAAACCCTCAGGTGTCCCTGAGCTAGTTTTCCATAGCTTTGTAGACGTAACAACAATGCTTTTAAATGCCCAAAGTGGCTAGGAAGTCGATAAATACCCTTCTTGCAGGTCAAGGTGTTATCTAGTCCCGGAGCACAAAGTTTTAAGAACAGGGACCTTGGAAGCGTGCTGGTGGCCAGGGGACAGCCATGAGCTCTACTCCCTCCTAAGGCTGTGCTAGCCTCAGTGGTTCTAGAGCAAACACCTCCTAGTCTATCTAAAGGAGTCCTTGCTTGTGAACACTAGCATGCCCTGTGGCCATTAAAAACTCAGGCTTCTTAAACACTTGGAATTGTGACCAGGATTAGAAAGGAATCCCATTGAATTTAGTGGTCTATCCCAGCAATCTCAGCACTTGGCTACCGGAGAACTATGCTGAGTTGGAGGCCAGCCTGGGCTACACAAAAGTCTTTGTCTCAGAAAGTTACAAAAAGAAAAAGAAACAGGGCTGGCAAGATGGCTCAGCATGTAAAGGTGGTGCTATGCCAGCCAGATAGCCTGAGTTCAATGCCCAGAGCCGACCTGGATCCGCAGAGCTGTCTCCTGGCCTCCCTGTGCATTGTGGCACATGAGTCTATACACGCAATAATAATAGAAACTTTTTAAAGAAGAAATAGAGTGTCCCACTGATTAAAGGAAGCATGGGACAGAGTGGACAGCCCAGATTACCCCTGGCTCCTGCTTATGGGAGAAATTCTTGCTACACACCAGAGGACCCTGGCATGGTCCACAGCCATCTAGAGCAGTGCTTCTCAACCTTCCCAGTGCTGTTACTCTTTAACACAGTTCCTCAGGTTGTGGTGACCCCCAACCATAAAGTTATTTTTGTTGCTACTTTATAACTGTAGTTTTGCTACTGTTGAGAATCATAATGTCAATATCTGTGTTTTCTGATGGTCTTAGGTGACTCCTAAGATAAAAGGCTCATTTGACAAACCCCCCAAAGGGGTTGCAACCCACAGGTTGAGAACCACCGGTTTAGATGCATGCTCCCTTCTTCTCCCCGAGAGGTCCTGGGCTCAGAGAGTGATATTCAATTTGCTCTGGTCATTTCCTCTTCACCTTTTTCCTGAGGACAGGATCAAGCGTCCATGGGGCAGGGGTACAGCCAGCGTGGCCCCATAGGTCCCTTCCTTCTCTAGCTCCTTAGTTGGACAGTGGTATCTGTCCTGCATATGTGTTTGCTTCTCTTTTTCTCTCATCAAGAGGCAGCGCGGCCTTCCAAGGTGACCAGCCACACGGAGGTCAGTGCTCACCTGAGCTCCCTGACGTTGCCAGGCAAGGCCGAGAGTGTGGTGTCCCTCACCAGCCAGTGCAGCTACAGCAGCACCATCGTGCACGTGGGCGACAAAAAGCCACAGCCCGAGCTAGGTATGCATGCCAGAGATCCCCCGGGAATAGCAACAGCAGTCCGAGTTTCATGAAGAAACTTCAGAGGCTGGGGAGGTGATTCGGTGGGTATGAGCACTTTCTGTGTAAGCATGAAAACCCGGGTTCACGTCCCCAGCACCCACATAAAAAGTGGGCCATGGTCAAGAGCATGCCCGTAAGTCCAGAACTTTTGAGGGTAGAGACAAGAGGGTCTCTGGAGCTTGCTGGCCGCCAGCCTAGCCCCAGGTTCAATGGGCAGCCTTGTCTCTCGCAGGAGTAAGGTGGAAAGTAACAGAACAGAGCACCTGGCATCTTCTTCCAGCTTGCCTGCACAGACTCTCTCTCTCTCTCTCTCTCTCTCTCTCTCTCTCTCTCTCTCTCTCTCTCTCTCTCTCACACACACACACACACACACACACACAAGCATACGCGCATGCACACACACAAACACAAGCCATATGGATGTAATACACATACATTTGACTGAAAAGTGAGAATGCTAACTTCCATTTGAACTGTTCTGTTTACTCAAACTTACCAGAAAAGTCCCAGTGAAGACTATTTGGGTCCTTAAACTTCAGAGGTGGGAGGTGGCCAGCTAGGGCCCAAGTACAAGTCTCTGCTGTGCTCTGGTGCCACCTGCTGGGAGTTGTTTGCCTTAGTGTCTGTTCCATACATTGCAGGCCCCATTTCTACATAGCGAAAAGAACTAGAACGCATTGTAAGAAGACTGAGTGCTCTTAATAAAATGAGGCCTTGAAGCTGGGAATTCTAGCACTAGGGAGACAGAGATGGGGATTTCTGGGGCTCACTACCAGTTAGTTCAACTAAGTTGGTGAGTTCCATGAGAGCCCATGTCTTAAAAAGTAAGGAACAAGGGAGGAGGACACCCAGTGTGGACCTCTGGCCTCTTCACCTCACGTGTACATATGCATACACATATACCTGAGTGCATGCATGCTCACGTGCATATGTACACACACACATACACACACGCACACACACGCACACACACGCACACACACACGCACACACACACACACGCACACGCACATGCACACACACATACACACGCACACACACACGCACATGCACACACAGCAAATTATAAGCTTGTTTGTTACCAGAAAGAAGGAAATGATGAGAAGCAATGTACCTGTAAGAGTCAACCCCCAAGGGCTCGGCCAGCATTCTCTGACCTCTCTGTGCCATAGACCACATAATCACAATGGCCACCATGCGTGGTCCTATCTTTATATATCAAAGCTGAAGGCAGCTTTGGAATGTCTTCAGGCCCACAGCTTCCAGTTTCCTGTTGTTCATAGTCCGGATACCTGACCCAGTGGATCTTCAGGTCTCTGCTACTTGCTGCTTGCTGCCTGGGACTCCTTTGCAAAGCTGAAGCAGGCACAGGGAATGTTGCCCCCAGTTGTGGGCATTATGAGTCAATGGGGTGTGAGTTGTCTGTACAGTAGATGGCACTGACAAGCACTTGCTGATCAGAGCCTGCTTCTTGCTGCAGAGACAGTAGAAGATGTGGCCAGTGGGCCCGAGTCCCTGGATGGTGCAGCTGGTGGCCTCAGCCAAGAAAAGGGGCCTCTTCAGAAGCTGGGTCTCACCAAGGAAGTTCTGGCTGCACATACCCAGAGAGAGGAACAGGGCTTCCTGCAGAGGTTCAGGGAGGTGAGCAGGCTCGGTGCCCTGCAGGCTCACTGCCAGAACTATCTCCAGGAGCGGTCCCGGGCCCAGGCGAGTGATCGAGGTGAGTGCTCACCTAAATTGAGCGTGCATTTTTTAAAAGCGCTTTGTTATTTTTGTAAAACAGGGTGATGCTAGCCTGGCACTCACAGCAATCCTCTTGCCTCAGCCTCCCTAATGCTAGGATTGCAGGTGTGGGCCATCGGGCCTCGCTCAACACTGTGCTTGAGAGACCTGCATCTGGTGCTAACATACTGAGCTGTGCCCCAGCCTGAGGTGGTGTGCCCAGGCCGGAGGTGTTCCTGTGGAGTAGCCACTGCCATGTTGTTGACCATGCAGCATAGGAACTCTTTTGAGGACACAGCCTCATGTTCCCAAGGAAACAATACCATAAACAGTTGCAGGGCACTAGGCTGGCTTCAGCACATTCCTGAGGCTTACCCCACCTCCAGTTAAGACCCTGGGGTAAGTTCAACCTGCAAAGAATGAGCATCATGCCATGAAACCTTTAGCAGGCAGCTCTTGGGAATGGAGGGATGATTTTTCCCCTTCCAGTGGACTCACCCTCCTGGCCTGGGGCTGCCCAGTGGATCCAAACCTCAGTCAGACCCATTAGCATGAAACTTTTCTTTTGGATCATAATCCCTGGATAGTTTGAGGGCTTTCTGTTACAGGGGCCTGGTTCTTGAGTCTGGCCATCTGTCTACACACTCACAATGGGATCTGGCTCAGTCTACACCCTTACCTGGCTCCTAAGCCAAACCTCCTTTTTTTATCTCAGAGGCAAAGGGCTGCACGGGCCAGAGATATCAGCTCTTCTCTTGGTTCTGGAGCTCTGGTCCAGGGTCACAACTAGTAAGCCTAGGAGACACACCACCAGGACCAGCCCCACAAATACACTGAAAGGAACCGAGGAAGCTATGACCTCTTTTAATGATGATATCTTTTCTTCTGTCTTTCTTACTTTTGAAGGTAGGGATTGAACCATCTTCAGTGAGCATGCTGTCCTGCTTCTGAGCAACATACCCAGCCAGAGTTGCTTTGCCCAGGCTTCCTTCTCACCCTGTTTCCAACCCCCTCCCCACAAAGTCTTGCCACATACAGGAACCTCAGTGGGAATGAAAAAACACCCATCCCATCCCAAGCAGGCCCAAGTGTACATAGTTTCACTTCCCACACACCCCAGACCCAGCCGTGCGTACATTACAAGGATCACACAACATGCCAGAAAGTCCTGACAACAGTCCATCCTTAGCACTTCAAGCACTGTTCTTCCCTCTGAGGGGAAACATTTCCAGGAGGGAAAACAGCAAATAGAGACAGAATCTAGAGCAGTGTGCTTAGACTGGGCTGTTTGTCTCAACGTGTAAGAAAGGTGTGAAGCCCCCACGACACAAGCTCACAGATGCCCCTGCACTCCTGTTGCCTTATGCCCAGAAAACATGCTCCACAGGAACATAAAGGAATGTGTTTCTAGGCTTTGGCGCCTGTTGGTCAGCTTCCCGTCACTGTGACAGATACCTAAGGAGACCAACTTCTAGGGAGAACATGTTTATTTGGGCTCACAATCCCAGGGGTTTCTGGCCACAGTTGCTTGGTTCTGTTGGGATAAGTCAGTGCAGCATGGCAGGAGATGGTGACTGAAGAGCTGCTCACCTCAGAGGCCAAGAAGTGAATCCAGTATCTCAGGGCATGTCCTCAGCAGCCTGACTTCCTCACAGCTGGGCCCCACCTTCTAAAGATTCCACCTCCATCCTCCAGGGGCAGCAACTGAGCCCTCGACATGGACTCAGGGATTCTCTAGATCCAGGGAGCCACCTCCAACTTTCTTGTGGCCGTTGGAATGTGTAGCATCCCTTTAGGAAACAGTGGCAGGTTAAGTGAAGCCAGCCATTCTGCCATTTGGGGTTTGCAAACCAATATGTATCTTTTTTTCTAAATATCAAGTAATAGCAGAAAAGGACAAGGTTTTGCTTTTTCTGTTTTATTTTGGATAATAATTTTTTGAGAATTCCATAAAACACACACACACCCCGCTACCTGCTCCCAGATCCACCCCCCTCCCACCCCCATCCTCTCACTGAGTCTAATTTGTGTTACTCATGGACTTCTAGGTTTGGGAGCATCTGTGTGAGAGTGGTCGACCTACTGTGGGCTACACCTTTAAAGAAAACACCCTCTGCCTCTAAAACAATCAGTTGTCCATAGACCCTCAATTAGGGTTGGGATCCCATGAGCCTCTTCTGCTTCCACGATAAAATGCTGTCTGGCTTGATCTTGTACGGGCAACCACAGCTGCTGCAAGTTCATGAGCAGAGTGGTCCTGTCAGATCCAGAAGATCTCTTTTGGTCCAGTCCTGCTCAACTTCTGCCTCTTAAAGTCTGCCTCTTTGATGTTGTACCCTGAGACTAGAGTAAGGTTTGCTATAGACACCCCATTTGTGGCTGAGCATGTCACTGACACTTGGCTGTAGGTTTCTGTGTTAACGGCTATGTACTGGACAACTTGTGTCAAGCTGCACTAATCTCTGGGTACAGAGAAATAAATTTAGAGGTCAGTTTGCTACTGAATGTATTTAGCAAAATAATGATGGTAGATTTACTCCTGGGATCTGTGATTTCCCCATCATGGATTCTTGGCCAGATTTGCAGGATTGAGCCTGTCTTTCCTCCTGTGGAAGGGGCCTTAGATCTCATCAGAAAGTGGTATTGATTGTCCCCCACCCCCCACCCCACCCTGCCCCATAACATTGGTGCCACTCTTACACTGGGCTCTCTTGTCACACTCGTCATTATTGGAGTTCACAGAGTTCACAGGTAGATTGTCTGTTGGTGACTTTCCCCCTCAACCGCCCTCAAAGCATCTTTTAGCATTGTGAGCGCTAAGGTAGCGAGAGAGAGTTCCTGGTCCATGTCAACTTGATCTCTCCATGGACGTAGGACTTACAAGACAGGGGACGTGGAACTTCGAGAACAAATGTAGGACTATGGCTTTGTAATTAAAGATGCACCTTCAAGTTGATAAAATTTGGTTTTTATGAAAAGCCTACCCCTTTGCTTCAGTTCCTCTCAGTGGCTGTGGTATGAGGAAAACTGAGCCTTGTATCCAGGGCTGTGGAATTGAGCCACCAGGTGTCTGGCATTCCACATCCCCTGTGAACAGACACAGTAGGGCTTGTAGCCATTTTGCAATTTTAACTCTATTTGTTTCTCCACATTTCAGCTGCCCCAGGACTAAGAAATACTTCTGGAGTAGAGCCATCTTGGAAAAAAACTGGAAAGAACAGGAAATTGAAGTCCAAGCGCGTCAAGACTCGGGACTCTTCTGAGAGCACAGTGTCTGGGGGACCCGTGTCCCACCGACCTCCTCTCGTGGGCCTGAATGCCACAGCCTGGTCACCCTCTGACACATCCCAGTCCAGCTGCCCCTCGGCACCATATCCCGCCGCAGTGCCAGCTTACACCCTGCCTGTGTTCCAGGCACCTGGACTAGTATCCACGCCAGGGACGGTGGTGGCACCACCCGCAGCTGCCCACACCAGCTTCACCATGCCTGTTGTGCCTGTGGGCACCCAGCCTGAATTCGCAGTGCAGCCCCTGCCATTCGCTGCCCCCTTGGCTCCCATCATGGCCTTCATGCTACCCAGTTACCCATTCCCACCGGCGACCCCAAACCTGCCTCAGGCCTTCTTCCCCAGCCAGCCTCACTTTCCAGCCCATCCCACACTTGCCTCTGAAATAACTCCTGCCTCCCCGGCTGAGATCCCTAGCCGGACCTCGATGCTCAGACAGCCATGCGTTTGCCCAGTCACCCCTCCAGCTGGCACAGTGGCCTTGGGCAGGGCCTCCCCACCGCTCTTCCAGTCCCGAGGCAGCAGTCCCCTACAGCTTAACCTGCTTCAGCTGGAGGAGGCACCTGAAGGCAGTACTGGAGCCGCAGGGACCTTGGGGACCACAGGGACAGCAGCTTCTGGTCTGGACTGCACATCTGGCACATCTCGGGATCGGCAGCCAAAGGCACCTCCAACAGTAAGAATTCTCTGCTGCACCTCTTTCCTGTCGGGCGGTAGGCCGTACACAAGGTGGTCAGCACACACCCTTATGTCAGAGGGGGCCGCTGGATTGAGTGCTTCCTGCCAGCCTTGATGCCTGAGTTCAGCCTAGTGTGCTTTTTCTGGAATGTGCACTTCATGGTTATGAAGTCCTACCATGGGACATTATTGCAGCTCTGTGAGGAGCAAATGAGGGTGACAGATGATGCAAATGGAGGGACCAGGAATAATGTGTATCTTCGGGGAGCATTTATGGGCTTCACATTTCTTTTTCTTTTTTTTCTTTTTTCTTTTTTTTTTTTTTTTTTTTTTTTTTTTTTTGGTTTTTCAAGACAGGGTTTCTCTGTGTATCCCTGCCTGTCTCAGAACTCAATCTGTAGACCAGGATGGCTTTGAACTCACAGAGATCTCCATGTGTCTGCCTCCCAAAGTATTAAAGGCATGTGCCACCACTGCCCAGTGGGCCTCTTGTTTCTAATGAGTCTTAAAAAGTTTTTTTTGTTGTTGTTGTTTGATTTTAATTTGAGACAGAGTCTTACTCTATCCCTGGCTGTCCTGAAACTTGCTATGTAGACTAGGTTGCCTCAAAACTCACAGAGATCTGCCTGCCTCAGCTCTGAGTGCAGGGATTAAAAGAATGCCCTGTCTGGCTAGTCTACAAAAATGAATGAAATCCAGCATGCTGAAAAGAACCAGGCTCTAGCCTGTAGTGTCCAGGATTCTGCCCAGTGGAATCCAGGCTCCTGGAACTTACAAGGATGAGAGAGGACCTCTGCTTTTGGCTCAGGAGCCCGTGTGCCTGAGTATTTGTCCCTGAGAGCCTTAAGGATGGTGCCAAGAGCTTTTTTTCCACTAATGGTTTCCAAAAGAACTACCTACATAGTAGCAGCAGCCCAAGTCAGCCCTGACCACTGTGTGGCATGAGATTCTGGGGATGACCACTACCTTCGCAAGCTGTTGGTACTGCTGTTCAGAACGTGGAGACAAAAAAGTGGGCAGTGGTTCTCCCAGAGCCTCTCTGCCCTCTGAGACACTAGGACCCCAGGTTCTTCCTAAGACAAGTGGGGCTCAGAACCTCAGTCATGGGTGGCTTGCTACCTGGGAGGCCAAGGAGCATCATGGCTCTTTTTCTAGTGGAGTCCAAGCTGTCTGCTGTGACTGACCCAAAGTCACATTTTATTGGGTGGTATTCATAGAGGACCAGCTACCCTCTCCCCATAACTCCAAAGTCTTCCCACCTGACAGGTAAGGGAAAAGTGTGTGCTCTGCAACTGATCTTTGCACAAAAGCCACCCATTGCACTCCCGTGGTTCCACTTCACCTTATTGTATGTTGTGTGCTATGCTGTCACTATAAGCCCTATGGTCAGCAGTGTCTTTCCTGTCCCTAAAGTGCAACGAGCCCTCAGATACCCAGAACAGTGATGCCATTTCCACGTCCAGTGACCTGCTCAACCTCCTGCTGGGTGAGGACCTCTGCTCAGCCACTGGCTCAGCACCATCTAGAAGCGGGGCATCTGCCACCTCAGACTCTCTGGGCTCCAGCTCGCTGGGCTGCGACACATCCCAAAGTGGGGCAGGTATGTTTGTGCTGAGGGCACAGGTGTATGCTAGGCAGACTAGAAGATTCTCATGGAACGTTCTGTTCCCTGGCCATCCTGCATGGATTCAGCTCTTCTGCCCTAATCAGCAGCCCAGCAGGCTCTGGTCATCAGAATTGGGGGTCCTAGTTGTTAGCTTCCAATTTCTGTGTCACTGAAGATGTTACAATCATGTCAGCCCTTGCTGGGTCAGTCTGTGGGTTCCCTGGGCATTGGGCACACATGTGCAGACATAACTAACCATCAAACCTCTACTGGAAGGGATCGTCCACATGTGCCCTTGAGCATCCAGAGGCAAGGCCACTCTCAAAATCCTGATGCCTTTTCTGCCCTAAAATGAGCTTTCCTTAACCTGCTCCCAGGCCTCTCTACCCAGGGGCAACAGCTGGGCACAAGTCAGGCCAGCAACTCCCTCTTAGGACTCTTCTCTGGACTTCTAAAGGTGGGTTTGTTTCCAGAGTCAACAGACAGAGAGAACCTGGGACAAAGGTCAGGTCTCCAAGATAAGGCCCTGCCTGAGCTCAGGTTCACCCCAGGCGAGTCACCTCCACTGTGCTAGCAGGTATCCTGCATTTGAATCATTGAGATCATTAAGAGCAAAGGGAAGGGGGGCCAGCACAGGCTCTTTCTACCTAAGGAACCCCACTCTCCGGAGCTGCCGTGGCTACACATAAGCACATTGTGCAAGAGTTGCTTTCTAATGTCAAGGTTATAACGATTGGCATTTCGTGTATTTGAAGGCAGTAGTGACACAAGTCACACCAGCAAATACTTTGGGAGCATTGATTCTTCAGAGAATAATCACAAAGCGAAAATGATCACAGACACGGAAGAAAGTGAACAGTTCATTAAGTACGTCTTACAGGACCCCATCTGGCTGCTGATGGCCAACACAGACGACAGCATCATGATGACATACCAGCTGCCCTCCCGGTAACTGTTGTACTCCCTGGGAAGCCTGGAGGGCTGGGTAGGCGTTTCCAACACCAAGGCCATCCATGCAGGCAGGATGTCCCATGGAACATTGTCTAGACTTGGCAGAGGCAATGGAAAGGAACGAGGCGTCTCCTTCGTGACCCCACTGGGCCTGCAGCAGCCTGCCTACTACCCTAGGGCAGTTAGAGCCCTGGAGACCAGCCTCTTGCCAGCGGCACACTCTGCTTGTGCCATACATTGGTACACTGTTGCCCCTTGAGCTGTGTCACCTCACCCACCTCAGGGGTAAATGGGATGTGTGTCTGTCTGAGGTTAAAAAAAAAAAATCAAGGGTCAAGGTGGGTGATCAGCCCATGTCTGTTCTGAGTGCAGGTCAGGCTTCCCTCTGAAGCCAGTGAGGTCACTACCTTTGCAGAATAGCCCCAGACAGGTGCTAAGAGAAAGGAAGGGAGCCCCTAAAGTTCCTGAAGGCAGCAGATCTCTGGTCAGTGAAGTAGGAGGAATGGCTAGGGAGCCTCAAACCTCAGGTGGGAGACAGCTGTTCTCCGGGCTAGTGTTGGCCCAGGAAGGAGACAGCGTGTTTCCAGAGGCTAGATGGTTAAGTCTCCTAGGCTGACCGTGTAGTGAGAGCCAGCCCAGGACTCCGGACGGCACCTAAAGATGTCAGGCTCCCCCAGCTAGTTTTATGAAAAACTAAAATTGTGACCTTGGTTCTCATTAAGAGAAAGACTAAAGAATATTTCCTAGAGAGATACAGTTACTTTATCTAGAGGATAATCTACTACAACGTTGTTGATACTGAAAAAAGAGATACAGTTACTTTATCTAGAGGATAATCTACTACAACGTTGTTGATACTGAAAAAAAAAATTGACAGAAAATGAGTGCATTGTCCCTTCAGCCTGTGGCACTCACCTATACCTAATTCTTCATGAAGGGATCTCCAGTCAGTCTTGAAAGAGGACCAGGAGAAGCTGAAACTGCTACAGAGGTCCCAGCCCCGGTTCACAGAGGGCCAGAGGCGAGAGCTTCAAGAGGTTCATCCGTGGGTCCACACTGGGGGTCTGCCTACAGCCATCGATGTGACAGTAAGTCTGCAGACCCTTCCTTCTCACATAGCACTCCAAGGTCACAACTGGGGCTAAGCATGGAAGCACACACCTGTCACCCCAGCACTTGGGAGACTGGGGCAGGAGGTTCGCAGGTCTGTGTCTACTAATCTGGCTACATAGAAGATTCTGCCACAAAAAAAAGAAAAGGTTCTAGGGACCCTTAGGGGTGATTCCTTCCAAAGGTTTAAGTGGCTGGCTTGAACAGCATGTGGAAGTTCATGGCTTCCCTTTCCACTACTCTGATTTCTGTTTAGCAACGCAAACATTTCTCTGTCTACCTTGCTCTTCCTGCCATAGCTCCTGGGCCTTAAAATTCCAAAACAGTATGTACTTCCCAGGCCTCTGTTGTCATTGGCTGGCTCGCAGGCAATGGGGCCTACTGCAGTCCAGTGTTGTGAGGGCAGCCGCTCTCACGGCCAGGCCGTGACTCTCAGTCTACAGATACTAATAGCTCCAGCTCCTGGGCACCAGGAATCCCTCTGGCCTCCCAGTTCCCAATACTCAGCTCGTTGTGACCTCCCTTGTTGATCATCTCCCCTCACTACGGACTGCAGCTAGGGACCAAACACTAGCCGGATCTGTGCCCTTCCCAGCACCCTGGATGTGGGGCTCACCTTTCCAAGCTGCTAACCTTAGGGCCATCCAGCATGCCTCTCTTACTCCCTCTGCTCACGGATCACACCATTCAACTTTAACAGGTAGACAGAAGCCAGTTCTCACCACCTCCAGCACGGCCCCCTGAGGGCCCAGTCTTGGAAGTCCTACACTTCCCAAGTCTAAGCACTCTTTAAGGGGAGGGAAGGGAAGTGAGGTGCTACCTGTTGTGGGAGGAGTGGCCTTTGCAAAGACTTTGTGGTCATCAGGCCACCCACAGTTGTCCCTCACACTCCCATACCCTCTTCACTTGAGCATGTACCATCGAACATTTTTGATGGACGTCTCTGGAAAGGGACCCATGACCAGGAGCCAGCTTCCTGAGGCAGGGAGTGTCTCTTGGGTTAGCAACCTCCAGGTGCATGGCTAACATTCCTCCCTACCCTGCTGAGTGTGAATGACAAGATTTCAGCTGCTTGCTTCTCACTGATGTGACCTGTTCTCTCTGAAGGGCTGTGTGTACTGTGAGACTGAAGAGAAAGGCAACGTTTGCCTGCCGTATGAGGAAGTCAGTCCTTCTCCTGGACTCTGTGATACCTCAGAAGCCAAAGAGGAGGAAAGCAGAGAGCTGACAAGCCCCAGGAAGGAGGCCCAGACATAACCCCGAGCCCCAGCCAGAGATCTACGTTAGACGGTGCTCGGAAGAGGCGGAAGATCTTGTTGTTTCTCATGAAGTGAACCCATACCTACACTGCTCTCTTTGTTTTAGAAAAAAACCAAACACCATAGTTTTCTGAAGGAGAGGTTTAGGAGGAAATACGTTTTTGTATTAAAATAGAAATATGGAATTTGGGGGATAGGGTGAGATTCATCATTGAACTTGAGGAGACTGAGGTGGTCTGTGTGTCATGGAGGTTGCCTCATGGCCCTCAGAAGTCTCTTGACCTCCATGAAACCTCTTTCCAGTGTACCAATGTCGGCTGGCCCCTATGGATTGTTCTGAAACATCATACCAGGATATGACATGTAACAGGGAAGCCACATGAGGCTCTCAGCAAAGGGCCCAGCTTTCTGGAACTTTCCCATGGTGTGATTGTATCAGATTATATCTCCCAAGCAGAGAGACATCCTCTCAGTGTGTTCTCTTATGTGGTTTGGAGCATGGTGTAGCAGCTTTGGCTTCAGGTCCTGTGGTGGCCAACATTCCAGTCTGACATGGCTTCTGTTCATCAACAAAGTTGAACGCCTACTCTGGACTAATGGAGCTTAGTGGTTTCTGTGACAGACTAGCACCCCCACACTGTATATTTCTGTGATGTCCTTGTATCCTTTTTAGACCATCATGGCCAGTGTGCAAAGAGAGCTGTGTCATCAGCCATGTTGCCCTGTCTGCATGGTGGCCTCTGCAAGCCAGACTTTGTTGCTGCAAGGGACATAGTCGTATATTTGTTCTATGGTTGGACTCTCTCAGACATCAGCTCCCAGCAGAAAACAGCCACTGAACATGGGGAGAGAGCACTCACACTGCCGCCCTGAGTTCTCCAGTCTGCAGGGAGCTCAGCCTCCCACTATATATGTGTTCCTAGCTCCTGTGGCTTCAGGTCTCTGTCACATCTGTCTGTGCTGCCGGTCCTCCAATCACTGGAACCCATGGAGAGAAGGGGACCTCTCTGCCCAGCTCTACAAAACTTTATGCTGCATCAGACATCCAAAGATTGTTCTGACATGCTTACTCACGGTGACCCCTGGTGAAATGAGACATCACCAGGGAGGAATCTTTGACTTACAAGTGGACAAAGTCAGGAGGAAGCAGGGTTTCCTGAGTCTGAAGTGGCTTCTAGAAAGATGTCCTGCTGTCGTCGGTTTTCATAGTAAAGCCATCTGATGCCTGAATAGTACCCCTATTTTTCATAAACACAAGAACTCTATTTTTTTTTATTATTATTAAAGCAACACCACCTTTCACAATGATCAGGTGGTAGCCATGTTTTAAAGGAAATTGAATGTTACAGACAGCTGCCTCTCTGACTAGTCGGATCCTAAGGGTAGACAGATGATGGTCTAAGCCTACGCTTGTTACTTAAACACAAAACTGCCAAAACCTTCTCTCTACTATCTTGAATGTTTACCATCAGCGTTATTTTATGATTATTTAATATATATTCCTTGATTGTTAACTGCTAAGAAGTTGACTTCCTAGGATAATTTTGTGAATCTGTTTACAAGATGCCAAGCATCCAGTCCTGTTTCCTTTAGAATGTGTGCTTACACGGGTGTTCTGAGACTTTCTCTATTTTAAACTGAGCCTTCTTTTTTAATGTAAATAAGCTCTCAGAGTTTGTGCCATGATGATTCGTGAGCCTTGCCGGACAAGCGGTTTGTTCATGCGCAAACCAAACGTACCTTCACCCAGTGCAATATATTTGTGTGACTGCTTGTGTCTTTTTATGACTTTTTTGCCTTTTAGAAAATTGTTAAATAAAGCAGGTATATTTTTATTTTCAGCTGTATGCTTTGTTTGATGTGATGGTGGAGATTCAACTCAGGGACTCATGCAAATTAAGCATGTGTTCTAACACTGACCTATAACCTAGTACTATATAGATTTTTAACATAACATAGACCAATAAACCCAAAAGAATGACATTGTCAAAAATACTTTTAAGAACATCAAAAATGGAAAAATTAGGAAATCTCCAGTCCCAAAAGCCAGCTCATTACTTCCCTTGCACAGTGTTCTTTGCTGGCCCACCTCCTATCTGTGTGTCTCTCATGCTCAACCTCCCTGGCCCATTCAATTTCCTGTAGGAATTTCCCATAATGCAGATCTAGCCAGGCATCCCTGGATCCCTTTCTCTTGATGTCTTTTTCCGTGCATATGGTTGTTTAGCAGATGCACTGGGCTGACCCCCAGCTTAGCATGACCCCCGCCATGCACTCTCCCATTAATCCTGCCTTGGGCTGTTTGTCTGTGTGTTGGCCTCAGGGCTGATTGCAGAGAAAGCAGATGGTACCATGCTAGAAAGGACTTATACCATTAAGATCAGTATATAGGCATCACTGGGGACACAGGCTTCCTACCCTGGCCCTTCCTGATTAACAGCCTTGTGAGAGCTACTCTGAAGAGACCTGCTTCCCTTTCCTCTCCAAACCAGGGTCCCAGGGACCTGAGCAGAGGGGCCACATGACTCTGGGCCTCGTGCTCTGCTTCTGAGTGCTCTGAACCTGTTGTCTGACTGCAAGTACTGGTGCAGTCTGAAACAAAGATATAGCAGGTAGGACTGTTTCACCGAGTTTCTTTGGAAGACTCTAATTGTGCTTCGTTGCTTTCTCTTTAAACCAAAAGGAAATTCTCTGAGTCTGCTGGGCAGATTGCCCACAAAGCACTTGGAAGTCTGCAGGCCTGGTGCTGCCTTTGTCCCTCTGCGGATTTACAGCCTGTTATTTCTGCTGCTAACTAGTCACCCTGTGGCCACTATGGCCCTGCCTAGCCTCTGCTGGTCTCTGTTCCTGGCTGGGGCTGGGGGGATCAAAAGGCCCTAATGCTAAGGAAGTCTGCATGCAGGCAAACTTTGAAGGTAGGGCATGGTCCAGGAGACAAATGGCAAGAACGAGTAGTTTAGCTGTGGAAGGTGAGCAAGAGAAGGAGGGTTTCCTGAGCTCAAGATGGGTGTGTAGTCAAGCTTCTGGGGCAGAAGTCTAAGCCACCTGGCCAATAGACTCACTAAAATAAGTTGAAGCTTTACAGATAGTACGTCAAGTAACAAGCACACCTAAAAAGAACCCGCTTTCTGACTCACTCCCTGCCCTATCTCTGTTCTCTTTCCTTCCGGGAAGAATGCCGAATCATACTGAGCCATGGCCCCAAGTGCTTAATTTTTCTTTTCCTCTGTTCTAGATAGCACACTGCAACCCCCCCCACACACACACACACAGTGTTGGACAAAGCTTTGCTTTGATTGATTCCCAAACCTAGGAATGGACAACGGGTACCTTTGTTTTCCCTTGAGTTCTTGATTTTCAGCATTTGCTTGCACAATTTGCCTTTTTTGATTCTTCTTTGTGCCCCCCACACCCACCTCTAACTCTCCAATCAGGTGTGCTACTGGTATTTTGAAGAGCCAACAGGAGCTGTCTTCTGGCCTTGCTCATTTGGATACAGAGAGAAGTACAACATAGTTTATAAACTAGGGAACACACACACACACACACACACACTACCAAAGGTTATTTTTTGCCTACCTCAAAGTAGAGGGAAATTAAAAGTAAACATTTTGTAATTTCTTTTACTGGAAGCTGATTGCTAATCAGTAAAGTCACAAATCAGCTATGAGGGGTCCACTGGGATCATTCCCACCCCCACCGAGGAGTCTTACCAGTAAAAGTGGAGGACTCTCAGCAACCCCTGGATGGCAGTGGCAAGGGACCAAACTTTGTAGCATGCTGGGAATATCAAGAATATTCCTGGTACTAAGCTGGGGGAGATGCCTGGGACCAGCACACAAAGCAACACTTCAGGAGGCAAACTTGAGAGGGCAGGAGTAGGTCACACCAGTAAGGTGACTCTGGAGACCTTCAAATTTCAAACCTCTTGCAGAATTCATCCTACCTGAAGCCTTTGGAGGTTTGTCTGTGGAGCCACAAGGAGTCTGCCAGACCCATCTTTAGGAGGGTAAGGGGTTTCCCTGCACAACAGTCTCTGCCTGTACTTTCCCTTCCTCAAAGGTCTTCCAGCCGGGCTGACTGAAGCACCAGTTACCAAGACCTGAATGGTGCCCAGGCAGTCACTGAAGTGGTGTTTAGTGGTGTCCAGGCCTAAGGATGGAGTATGTAAAGGCTGGTTAGAAGCTGGCAGACATCCAAGAACGCTGGAGCAGAGCCAGGGGTTCCGAGGGTGCTGCTTGGGGGCGCGCGCACACACACACACACACCCCTCCCGCGGCGAGGCAGGGCCGGCAGATGGACCGCCAACAACCCGGGGCTTGGGCGTCTGGCCGACACAGGCGTGCCTGTTGCAGCCTGCGGGACAAAGCCAGCGAGACAAAGGCGCGGCCAACACCTGTCGCTCCTGGCCGGGCTGCCGCTTTTCTCTGCCGAAGCGGCTGCAGCTGCCAACTGTCACGGGCATCAAGTTACTGGGGCCAGACAGCAGCCTCGGCCTGCAGGAACCAAGGATAGAAAGGGGAGGAGCTGAGAGGGACTGGGGGTAGTGGGAGTGGGGGACACTAAGGGGACTCGCGGGGAAGGGATGTGAGCGAGGAGAGGGGTTGGGGGACCGGGATGTGTGAGATCACCGGATGGGGTTGCGGAGGAACTAGAGAGAAATGAGAGGAGCTTAGGCGGGTACGGGGTGATGAACAAGGAAGAAGAAGCTTGACCAGGGCAGTAGCGGGTGGCGCTAGAATAGACAAGGTAGTGATTGGGTAAGTGACTTAGAGAACAGAGAAAGAGAGGTTCAGTAAGAACGACCGTGGACCTTGGAGTAAGAAGGTTATAGGTGTCCTCAGGAGTCCAAAACGACACATGAGGGTCCTGCTCCAGCTGCTAAATTAGCCCCTACTTTCCCTGGTCTTTGCACTTTAGCCACCAGTGACCCGAAGCCCCTTCCACATCCCAAGGGCATGGACTTGACTTTGGCACTGTCCTGTCTGAAGCCAGCTCTGGGACTGGAGCGCTATTCTCGAGAACACTTTTGGTAAACCAAGGGAAGCAAATGCACTGTAGGGATGGATGGGTGAAGGGGTGAGTGGAAGGGAGGAATGGATAGATATACAGACCGAAGAATGTATAGATAGCTAAACCTGGGATAACAGGCTGGAAGATCTGGGCTCATAACTCAGAAGAGGGAAGTACAAACACACCAGCAAGAGAGAAGCCGGAGGTCACTGCCCATGAGTGCAGCCCCTGCGTAAGTGGCAGGAGGTCCGGCTGTGGGCTCCGCCCCGCCAGCTGCCAGAGGCCCGCGGGATCTGACAAAGCGCGCGGCTCTCATTGGCTGCAGGCTGCCTCGCGGCTGGCCGCTCCAGCCACGCACAGCCAATCGGTGCATTGACATGTAAATAAGGCGCTATAAAATGGGCGGAGCCCCATGGGCCGGAAGACTCGGGATAGCTAGTGGGGCCTCCCGGCTGCGACCCACCTCGCAGAGAGTGTTTTGATCTAAGGCGCCGGGCGCTGGGCTGCCGGCGCTGTAGACCATGGCTCCGTCCCAGGCGCACAGCCGGGACCGTGCAGGCCAGGAGGATGAGGACCGCTGGGAAACACGGGGGGACCGCAAGGTGTGGACAGGGGCTGCGGGTGGATGGGCTCCGGGGAGGCTGCACGGGCCAGGGGGCTCAGTAGCCACTTCCCACAGGCCCGGAAGCCCCTGGTGGAGAAGAAGCGACGCGCGCGGATCAACGAGAGTCTTCAGGAGCTACGACTGCTGCTGGCCGGCACCGAGGTGCGGCGGGAAGGGTGCGGGGGACTTCAGGGTGCACCCCGGAGCACACAGCCGGACTCAACTCCTTTCCCCTCTGCGCAGGTGCAGGCCAAGCTAGAGAACGCCGAGGTTCTGGAGCTGACCGTGCGGCGCGTGCAGGGCGCGCTGCGAGGCCGGGCGCGCGGTGAGTGGCGGCGGGGATCCAGGGCGGGGGCGCTGACCGGGCACGCCTGCCACTCAAGAGTGGGACACGTCGGCTCCCGGAGCCCCGGTCCTGTCCATGGCGAGGGCTCCCCCCAGAGCAGGACACGTTAATGTGTCTTCTGGGTGAGCCCCGAACCCGCGGAGCGGATCGTCCGAGCCACGGTAGTCACTGCTCACGGTGCGGGATGCCGCTCTCTTCTTCCCACCCTCCTGCACAGAGCGGGAGCAGCTGCAGGCTGAAGCAAGCGAGCGCTTCGCTGCTGGCTACATCCAATGCATGCATGAGGTGCACACGTTCGTGTCCACGTGCCAAGCCATCGATGCCACTGTCTCAGCTGAACTCCTGAACCACCTGCTAGAGTCCATGCCGCTGCGCGAGGGTAGCAGCTTTCGGGATCTGCTGGGGGACTCCCTCGCTGGGCTGCCTGGAGGCTCTGGAAGAAGCAGCTGGCCTCCAGGAGGGTCCCCAGAGTCCCCATTGTCCAGTCCCCCAGGTCCCGGGGAAGACCTGTGTTCTGACCTAGAGGAGATCCCGGAGGCTGAACTAAACAGAATGCCTGCTGAGGGGCTGGATTTGGTGCCTACATCCTTAGGCGGCCTGACCGCAGCTCGGCGGGCCCAGAGTGTGTGGAGGCCTTGGTGACCAACACTTACCAGGGACCTGTGAATGATGGGCTGCCATCCTTAAGTTTGCTTCCTCCCTGGGTATCATATGAGGTGGAGACAGCCCAGGATGCCCCTAGGTATGCCCTCCCCACTCTCCAATGGATGGCTTGTATGGCAACCCTGATGACCAGCCCCTGCAGGTCCCTAGCCTTATTTTGTGAGGGAATCAATTTCATGGACCCTAGAGCTCTGGACAGGGCTCGGGGGAACGCTGCAGAAAGAAGGGAGACTCTTGTAGAGCTGCCAGGGCTCCCTTGTGTTCACCTTTCCCTGCCTTGTAGGCGTTTTGAGGGATCTAGGGCAGAAGTGGCCAATCTTGAGACTAAGTGTTAGTGTCCTAGGCAGGAACACACAGACCATAGCAATCCTGACCTGAATAGAAGTTCAGATTCGCTACTTTGGCTAGGAGACCAGGGGAGGCAGGCATATTCTGCAGTCACTGAGAGCTGCTCCCTGTTTGGAGCACAGTTGAGTGTGTGATTTTGGTTGCCGTCGGGTGCTCCAATTGAATTAAATAAAGAACTTTGGAGTTAGTTATCCTGGTGTACTGTCATCGATATGTCAGATGTGTGAATGTTCAACTGCATCCAACACTAGTGAATGCCTTTTTAAAGGGTCCACCCTTTGTCAGCAAAGTGCATTTGTGTGCTGCTGATGGAGATGCCCCCGGTGCTGGCCAGGTCGTCTGCACTCCCCCACTTTCCTAGGAGTATGTGTCCTAGAAGATTCCACTAGCATGGGGTTTGTCTCCAGGGTAACTAAGCTGTAGGGAGATGATCTGACTTTGTACTGTTCTCTCCTGAGCTCCCAGGACTAACACTAGTTGCTAGTTCTTTGCCTAGGAACTGTCTTTCAAAGGCCTGGCTTCGGGTTCATGAGAATAGTGCAGATTTCAATCGTTCTCAGGTTGTCACTTTTTTTTTTCCTTTTAAAAAATGATGTGTATGTACTTATAGGCATGTATAAGGAAGTCAGAGGACAATTTTGGGGAGTTCTCTCCTTCCACTATAGTTTTCCAGGATCAAACTTGGGTCCTCAGGTTTGTTTGGGAAACCTTTTTAACAAGCTGATCCATGTGATGGACTCGCTTGTCACTTTTCTTGGTAGGCATTTCCCCTGGTGCCTCTGTAGTGACAGGGAGTGCTTGACATGAAAGTGCCTTGGGCCCAGGCAACTTGGGCCTGAGGTTAGGATTCAGACCCTGGAGGTCAGAATCCTCAGGAAGAAGGAAGTGGATAGGATGGGCACTTAGTATGCTTACAGATATCTATAGTCAGTTGGCAACAATCACTGGCACCATTAGAGAGCCCCCTTCCATCCAGGACCCCAAAGCACATGGCTTTCTCTAGGCTGCAAGCAGGAAGGCTGATACTTGACCCTTTAGGATTGTCATCTTAGGTCATGTGCCTTTAAGAGCATCTTTCTCAAAAGTTGTAGGTCCCTCGGTGTCTCAGCATTTTGGGGTTCATCTCTATGCCAGGTTAGAGATCCATGCCACCTAATCTTAGCATTGGGGCTGAGCTGTGGGCAGCTGGAGGAATGGGAACATTGTTCCTGGAGTTATTTTCTTCACCTCAAACTAGTGTCGAGTTCCAGAGGGACACAGATAATGGGCCCTTGCATGGCTTCTATCACTATCGACAGGCCAAAGCACTAAGCTTTGATGCCACCATTGAGAGCATTAGCCAGGGAGGGCTTGAAGGAGCATCTTGCTCTGATGTTGCATCTTTCCACAGGCCCCTAAACAAAGGAGAGGCCTTCCTCCTTTTGCAAGGTGACCTGGAATAAATGTACCAGCGGGCCCAGGACCCACTCAAGGTCAGAAGCCACTGACTGAGCTCCGGCCCTATGCTCCCCCAACCCAGAGCCAACCTCTTTGTAATCCTTAGCCACTGTCTCTTTCTCTGAAGTGGAAATGGCTTCCAGACCTACCACTACTGTTGGCCTCGGCTGCGAAGTGTCTTTACCTAAGGCATAGTCTAAGAGCACAAGCTCTGTGTTCAGCTACACCATCATTTCATTCACCTTGCCTCCCCTCTCAGCAGTGCCTAGGCTCTCTCCCAGGCCTCCTGCTAAAGCATCTCATGCCCTCATTTCCCCTGAAATGTGTCACCTGGCCCCAAACCTCTGATTCTGTATTTTCCATAATAGCCAAAACAAGGGACCACGAACTTGGTGGTTTAGAAGAGTTTGCAATACTGAGCATCTCCATAAGTCAGGAGTCCAAATCATGGTTTCAACAGGCAGAGTTGATAGCTAGTCTTCATTGTCAACTTGACTACAGCTGGAATTAACTAAAACCCAAGCAGTTAGGTGCACTTATGAGGGATTTTTTTTTTCTTAAAAAAAATAATAATTTGAAGTGGGAAGACCCACTTTTCATCTTTTGACATAGGAAGATCCACCTTAACCTGAGCCACACCTTCTCAGTGGCAGCCTGTAAGAAGGACATGGAAGAGAAGGAAGCTTGCTTGCTTTGCCTGCTTGCTTTCGCACTCACTGGCAAATTCATTTCTTCACTGGCACGAGAACCTACTTCTTCAGGATTCCAGTGTATACTAAAGACTAGCTGAGACATTCAGTCTTGTGGACTCAACAAGTGTTGGATTCTTGGACCTTCCATTGGTAGACAGCCATTGTTGGATTAGCTGGACCACAGCCTGTAAGCCATTCATAAAAATCTCCTTATACCTATATCAATCTATATAGATATAAGTTCTGTTCTTCTAGAGTTCCCTGAATAATGCAGATTTTGGTAGCAGACGTGGTTCTAGAGCAACAGGAGTATAAGGATGATTTTTTTAAGGCTTTATTTATTTATTTATTTATTTATTTATTTATTTTGTGTATTCACCATTGCTCTCTTCAGACACACCAGAAGAGGGCATCAGATCCCACTACATATGGTTGTGAGCCACCATGTGGTTGCTGGGAATTGAACTCGGGACCTCTGGAAGAGCAGTCGGTGCTCTTAACCATTGAGCCATCTCTCCAACCCAAGGATGAATTTTTTTAAGTTATCTGGAACAGGTCTTCCAATTTGCCAACACCTCTAGTTACCAAAGCCTCTCTCTCTCTACTTACTGACACCTCTCCTAACAACTTGGAGAGTGCTGAAAGATCACAGTGTGAACTGTTTTACAAATTTAATGAGACAAATGCATTTGATTATCCTGATTCACCAATCATGAAAAGCAACAGATTTGGTGAGCCTACCTATAAAATTTTAACAATTTGTGGAAAAAATAAGGAAAATGATGATGCTGGTTGCTATCGTGGTATCTTTGGATAAAGTGACCAAGGAAAAGAATGAGCTCCATGATCAAACTAAGCAACTTGTAGCATCTCAGAATCCATTGAGGGACAAGCATGAACTCAGTGATGAATTGACTGGCTCCAGGTACACATAAATAATCTAAAGGTTTCTGAGTGTGCCCTGAGTGTGCCCTGAGTGTGCCCTGGAAGAGACAGCAGTGACAGAGCTCAAGTATTAGAAAAACCAAACCAAAGCTCTCATAAGGTTGACTGAATTACCGCAAAAATTCAAGTCCCAACCTCAAAGAGTGTCGGTGGCTACTGGGAGGGCATTAATTGGTGAAGAGTAGGATCTTGTAACCTGGGATAGAGGCGTGTGGGAGGGATCCTGTGACCTGGGATGGAGATGTGCGGAAGGGCCCTATCGAGGCTGAGAACATTGAACCTTCGGATTTTTACAAAACCAAGTAAAATTCAGAACCCTAGGAAGTAGTAGTCTCTCCACCCTCAGAAGATGTACACCCAACCCTGCCTCCCGAGATACAGTTTTTTCCACCTTTGATTGAGGAAATTAATCCTTCACTAAAATAGCAATGCTAAAATAGTCTGCTAAAATAGTAATGTCAGATAAAATAATATTGGTGTAGCCATGGTAGCAGTGATGGAAATCTGTTGGGTTGGTTTTTTTAAAGAAGAAGAAGAGGAAGAGGAAGAGGAAGAGGAAGAGGAAGAGGAAGAAGAAGAAGAAGAAGAAGAAGAAGTTGAAGAAGAAGAAGAAGAAGAGAAAGAGGAGGAGGAAGAGGAGGAGGAGGAAGAGAAGGAAAAGGAGGAGGAAGAGAAGAGACGAAAAGAAAAGAAAAGGAAAGGAAAAAGAAATAAAGACTGGAGAGATAACAGTGGTTAAGAGCACTGACTGCTTTTCCAGAGGTCCTGAGTTCAATTCCCAGCGTGGCTCACAACCATCTGTGATGCCCGCTTCTGGTGTGTCTGAAGATAGCTACAGTGTACTCATTCAATAAATAAATAAATAAATAAATAAATAAATAAATAAATAAATCTTTAAAAAAAAAAAAAAAGAAAGAAAGAAAAGGAAGAAAAGTGACAGCCAGATGGTGGTAGCGCACGCCTTTAGTCCTAGCACTTGGGAGGCAGAAACAGGTGGATCGCCCAGTTCAAGACCAGCCTGGTCTACAACCCAAGTCCAGGACAGCCAGGGATACATAGAGGAAACCCTGACTCGAAAAAACAAACAATAAACAATCAAACAAAACAAAAAACCCAAAACACAGAGGATGATCTCCAATGTACCTCAGCACACACAAGTCACATATGCCAACAACAAGGGATCCTTCCAGTGACCATGGCTCCCCACCAGGATCTTCTGGCTTGGCTCTGGCTTGACTCTGCCCTTGCTGACCATTTAGTACCTAGCACCCAGGTTGAACTTGCTAAACAGAACCGAGGCTGTGACCAGCTTGCTGCCATTCCTCCCAAGGAACATCTCTCTCAAGAAACATTTGCTACAGAGCCAGCACCGAGTCGCTGTCCTTGCCACCAGTGGATGTGAGCATGAGGCCTTGCTGTGCACTGGCCAGTCAGAGCTGCAACTTGACTTGTCTCTCCTCTGTCTGTGAGTGAATCCTGCCTTCAGATATTAGTGGCATCACTTAGAGCTGAGTTGCTTGGTTGTTGGATTCATTTGCTGTGCTATGTGTGAATTCAAAAACAAAACACCTGTCTGCCTCTCTTGAACATATGTCATGTTCAAGACACAATCCCATCTCCACGTACAATGTAACTTCACCTGGGTTGTCACTCCCTTATCCAGAAAACTTTTTTTTTAAAGCTCTCTTCATCCTAAAGTTCTACCCTTGTAAGTGTTGCAGCTCTGAAGGGAAAGGCTTCCCATACAGAAGTGTTATATTTCTGCACCAGCTGTGGGGGAAGATTTTCCCCCTGATGCCAGTGTAACAGCTCAGTTCCAGCACGGGAGGTTTCCTAGAGAAAGTGTTACAGTTCTGCTCAGAGAGGTATCCTTGCAGTCCAGAGCCAAGGAATACAACAAAGTCACATTGTAAAAAAAAAAAAAAAAAAAAAAGCAAAAAAACAAAAAACCTCAAGCAAGAGATTTGTTGAGGGCAGGGGACTGCCATTACTCAGACAAGAAGCAGCAGTGAACTGGACAGAAGGCAGGGTTTGTATTATATGTATTTCTGTGGCAAGCTCAGGACTGGTGGGATTGTGATTCTTGGCCTTGGGCTTGGGGTTAAGTCAGGGTCAGG